TATTGCAATAAAACGGCAATTTCATACTTTAACCCCTAATATTAACAAATTATTTACAAAAAGCCACCCCAATTTTCAATTGTTTATGATCTTTTAGGGAAGTCCATAAAACAAGATTTAAGACACCGGTTTAATACTATAGTGAAATAAAAGCTTTCCACAAAAGGTATTCCGCGTATTTATTTGAATGACAAAAATCCACTGTAGTAAATCGTTTAGCACTTTTCGGTTGTTTTTATGATATTTGAAATAATTATTGTAAATGATAAATGTGTACAATTATTCATTTACAAAGAGCCACCTCTAGAGTTTCTTATTCATTCTTCATAAGGACTACCTTCGTGGCGGAACGGTTGCCATGCTGGTCTGCCACGCAGAGGTCCCAGGTTAGATTCCCGGGCCGGGAGAAATATTTGTATAGCCTACGTTTTATTTCTCTCGTGAGTTTGGATGTAATTAGTGGTTGTCTCTGTGTGTCCAATGCAACCACGACACAGGGTTTCCATCTTCAAAAAATCAAAATCAAAAATCTTCCTTACGAAAGAGCAGTGGAGTTTACCTAATCAACGTGACGATATCAAATGTAATTTGTTAATCTATGAAATTTCAAGTGTAATTTGCAGACGAAAATAAACAATTCAAATTTAAATATAAGATATATTTAAATTTTAATTTAATGCGCTAATTTAATGCCTTTACTAGTTTACAGGGGCAAATAGTACGACGCCCCTAGCGGACGCAAGGCGAAACTACAGTTTGTTAATTAATATTTTACATATTGCTAGCAACAACTATCTCAACGCCATAAGTGTCACTATTACTTATATATTGATTTTTTTAAATTTATTAAGGGTTAATTATGTTTCTGTAAATATGGCCGCCACAAAGAGGATAGGCAATTTGAGGCGGCGTGTTTGGATTGACTCGGGATTTCTTAAAACGGGCCGATACGGGTATTTTAGTTCGAGATTCGTATAATTTCGCGTTTTAATCTTCGATTAAGGCACAATAGCACTATCCTATTCCACTTTAAACTACATTTCACAAAATAATTGAAAGTCAAAATAAAAACGACACTTTTCCCTCCAAAAGGTCCAAAGCGAATCCCTTATATATTGATTATTGGCAGTGAAGCTATCGAGTTATCACAAAGACCCGACATTATTTGTGTCAAAGTGACGTTTGGAAATTTAATTTTTTTTTTATACTGATTTTATCCATTCTTAAATTGGTAAAAGCAAAGTCACTTGTGCGCCATACAGCCTAGACTGAAAATAATTTGTTTGTTTCGTTACAAGTTTACAAGTCCTTGATAGTCTTACAAAATGAAATAAAAGTGAATAACATTCTTGCTTTTCAGGAAATCTTGTAAAGATAAAGCAACCATAGTTGAGATTTTTTCAATTTAAGTATTTTATTATGCAGCGACCTTTAAGGAAAATTGGTTGTAGATATACAATTATCCGCGTCCACAGCGATTAAAAGTAGGTAAGTATAGTTTAACCTGTTGAGTTAATACTATAATAAGGACAGTCAGCCTGCGCATAGCATATTATGTCTAA